CGTGGACGACTTTACACAAGGAAGAATCACGAGAAAGCTGGACGAAATATTAAGTTTGATGATTGTAACCTGGTGGTGGTATTGCACACAACACCTTTCATATACATGTGTAGTGTTTCAACTTTTAGACGGGTCAAAAAAAATGTGGTCCATAGCAATCAACCAGAGCTACTGATGACTCATTTCGCAGTAAGCAAGAAGAGACCCACTTGAGGTGGAAACCGTTTGAAAAAATGGCCGCTTCAGGAAGACCCCTACTACCTAGTAGAGAATCCCGGAACAACGCCCTCTGACTCTTCGAATATCCTGTATGAAACAGGAGAAAAGCTCATCGGCGATGTGGGCGCGAGCACCTGCCGTTGGCGCTGCACTTCGTGTGAACAAAACTGGGTTTCTAGCACTATACCACTTTATTTAACTGGGCCGCGAGCGAAATGATTGTGTTTATGTTCAGGTACCACCCTTGCCCTAAGGATTGGAATATTTTGAAAATGCAGAGGAAATCGAGGCATTAACGTGGATACCCATAGGAGTACTGTCAATAGCTTGGATAAACTGAGTGCTCTTCGCCTTCGACTCCTACTTCTACTTTTCACACAGTGTAGTAAGAGGCCCATAAATGCTTGGAGTACTTAATGTATTGACGTAATGGTGCCAAAGCTAGCCTTTGCTCGATCCTTCCTGTTGTGTTTCGCGGCAGCTTGGAGACGCTATCATAAATTGCACAGACCATTTCCCCACCGTCGTTTTGACGTCGCTAAGGACGTTCAGGGAAGATGGACCATGGTTCTGTATTCCTCTACAACATTCAGGAAACCATTTTGAAAGAACGCTCCATGTTTTATATTGTTTTATACTCCAGTATCTGTGAGCTGGACTATGTTCAAATCGTCAGCATATGAAATGGAAGCCTTCTACAAACGAGAAAATTTAGAAATGTAGCTGCGCCAGTGCCGCAGAGCACGGTGAGAATCGTGTCGAGGACGTGGTCGCAGAAGTAGACCCCCGCCCTGAGATCGAGGACTTGGCACGACCCACCTAAAACAGAGCATACGCAAAATTACAACAGCCGAGTGTATCGATCAACGGCCGATTCGGCGCGATTTGTCCCTGGGTCAGATTTGCTGAAATCCCGAAAAAAACCGTCGAAATCTACACCCTCGATGAAAAGGTTCCATTCCTCCATTTCCCAACCTTTTGAACAGCACGCGGTAGGGTTAGATAGAGCTAGATTTGCTATCAGGCAGTATTGGAATTGCTATGAAAGCCTTCCATTCGAAGAGATATAGTCTCTCAAAATCCGTCGAGGGAGCGTCGAGGATGCTGAAATTTTCATGCGAGTTTTTGCCACTTAAAAGGCAATATCTCTCTAATTTCGCAAAATCAGTTCTCAAAAGCCCTTCTCACTTCTTCTGAATGATTGGACCAAAGCCATGGATGCGAAAAAGGAAGTGCATGTAGTTTACTTTGATTTCGCTAAGGCTTTCGATAAGGTCCCTATTCGATTACTTTTGTGTAAAATGCAGCACGTTGGATTTCATCATAGAGTAATCAACTGGATTGCCTCCTTTCTGCATAACCGTAGCTATCAGGTTCGAGTTGGAAGTGTTTTATCAAGTTCATTTATAGCTCCCAGTGGAGTGCCTCAAGGAGGCGTTCTATCCCCCTTACTGTTTTCAATCTATACGAGTGATTTCCCTAGCACTATTTCTCGATTCGGGGTCTCTTGTATAATGTACGCTGACGATATAAAAATATACAAAGTGGTCCAAAATTCGACACATCAACAAGACCTTCAGGCGGCTATAGACTGCGTCAAGAGTTGGTCTATTGAGTGGGGATTGCCGCTTTCCCATGAAAAAACCAAAGTCTTTTGCCTAAATAAAAGTAACACAGCTATCAAATATAGTCTAGGATCCCTGGAACTGCAAGAAGTCACAGATGTTCGCGACCTTGGTGTCAAGTTTGATAACAAGCTTGCTTTTGATATCTATTACAAAGAAATTGTACATAAAGCAATGTGTAGAGTATATAATCTCTTCAGAGCTGTTAGAGCTAAGGACTCCAAGACGCTAATCAGAGCTTATAAAAGTTACGTCAGGCCGATTTTGGAATCGGGAACAACTATTTTCTCTCCTCACAAGAAGAGGGATATACTCCTTTTGGAAAGCGTTCAAAGCAGTTTCACGCGCAAGTTGGCTATGCGATGCACTGGTCTGGGCTATCAGTTTATTCCAGACAGTGTTGTGCGTCGTCGTATTTACTCAATTCCTAGTTTGCTCGTCCGAAGAAAGATTAACGACCTTGTCATGGCATTCAAAATCCTTACCAATAAGGCTTCGGTCAACTTGGATGACTTTTTTATTCTAAATCAGTCTAGAACGCGCGGCTGTGCTGTGAAAATCAGGCGTCCGGCAGTTAGAACTCAAATACGAGCCAAATACTTTTCAATCAGAGTGGTAGCTCTTCTTAATAAGATACTAACAGAGGATGTCATGCATTTTTCACTCAAAGTTTTCAAAGCTTTAGCAGAGAAATCAGTGCTTGCAGAGGATTCCTCCATTTTTGGTACCTGATTGTTGTCATCATTCCCATAGGTTGCGCTTTTTTTTTCTGCTCGTTAGTTGTTATGCTTTTATTTTTCCATTATATTTCTGTTGTGTTTGTTCATTTTTTTTTTAAGTTTTTGCTACACGGCGCTTACTATGTTGACGATGTTTTTCTTGCTTGAGTTGCCATACCCACGTGGACTCTGTCTGCGTCAATAAATGAATGAATGAATGAATGAAATCTTCGGAAAGCGAAGACAGTTTTGGAAAGCGGAAGGTTTGCGCTTTCTAACAGTATGTTTGGCTTCCTTTTACATTGTTAGTTGAGGAGATATTTGCGTCGAGGATCTATCGAGGATGATTCTCGGCCGCTCAAAAAGCCGCTCCCTTCTTCACCATTGCAAGTGTAATTCGTTGGCAACGCTCGAAATGTGTCTAGAATACATTCTTCCAACATAAGCAATAAGAAAAGGGGCAATCGTCACCATCCGATTTTGTCTGGGTATAGGCCATGCATCCGACCTTCACTCGAAGTTGCAGAATCGACTGAAAGGTGTTATATGATCATGACCAAGCTGCATTGTAGTAAACACATTTCGCAACCCCTATAGCCTGAGGAACAGCTTCATTTGCCCAGCGGTCTTTCCTTCACGGTTGTCGTTTTTCCGACAGCGGTCCCTAACAACAGTGTCATTCTCAACGAGGTATTAAGGGAGAAGGAGCGAGTGATAGGCGGAGGAGGTGCCTTTGCAGCGCGTGCGCACATGTGGCACTCTTCTTTGCGGGGATGCACTTTCATTCTTTGTACTGCCTTCAAATACGCCCTTCTCATGAAGGTGGAGGAATGGAGCGACTGAACCTGCAAAGAATTTTTTATAAATGTTTTTTCACACATCTTCGCTTTCTGCTGCATTACATCCTCCTACTCCTATTTTCACTACGATACCATTAATGTACTGACCGTCACGAGAAGGATCCCCCATGACCCAGCCTAACAAGTACGACCTCCCTGTCTAAGAATTTCCTCGACCGATATCGCCCTGCCGCAGAGTAGTAGACCCAGCGATGACCAGACAACGTTGCTACTCAGGGGATACAATTCCTGCTGCTTCATTTTGTTGTCCTATCCGCAGGACCCGATGACTGCGGATTTGAAAAACTACGTAAGAGTTTGTCACTCAGAAAATGTTTGGAAATGCTTTCTGGACATTGTTGATAGGAATCCAATACGAATGAATGTGGATGGCTAGACGACGAAAAACGCTAGTATTCCTGTTCAAAGTAAACATGGCGTCACATTCGGAGTGTATTTCGCAATAGCATAGTCATTACTTGAACTGGCGACAGTATGCAAATGCACTTTGTGAAATGTCACTGCTCAAATGTGAGCGAATGTTTACAATGGTCTGGGTATGAGAGCTTGTTGCCAACGTTTCCCACTGGTGCGCATAATGATTAATATCGTTATGTGAGTAGAGGCACCTATGCAACCTCGAGCAAACTCAAGAGATTGATGGGAATGGAAAAGACGGTTTTTAACAGTCACTGATTACGTGGCCCAAGGACAACACGCGGATGACTTCACAAGAGGAGGAGCTTGGGAAAAGTTGGAGACGGCTAATGTTTGACGAGGGTAACCCAGGGAGCATAGCAGTTTACAGAACTTACTCGCATGAGAGAGTGCTAAACACGAAGACGGCGGGCTGATGAAGACCTCCGACTCTCACTCAAACATTACCTAACTTACAAAATGTACCAGTGATAAAGCTAGGAAGTCACACAGAAACAGCGCGGAGAGCCTTTGTCCGAGTTCTGTATCAGTATGTGAGGACTACGCAGGTGTGTTAGACTCCATCCAAAAAACCTATTTCAAATAGAGACACTAATGTGGGTCGCTAAGTGGGAAGACTCGAGAGGATGGTGAGCTGATGACAAAGACAAGTCCTACGCCTTCAGTAAATAAAAGGAGGTAATGCAGTTGGAGTTGGGGAGAGAGGTAAAATATTCAAGATGTGAAATTGCGTTAACTCCTAAAAACGTTTCGGTAAGTTTCACTTCCCGAAAAAAAAACCAACAAAGCTAAAATGGATGGCACTGTATGCAGATCCAATGAAAGTGGAGGAGCCTGCTCGTGACCACCTACGAAATCTGCGTGTTAAAAGATTGACTGCAGCGCAGCTCTTGAGCCTGCCATGTAATTTCGACGTTGGGTGCCTTCAATTCGCAGAGAAAATGCGATAGGATCTGATCTGTTTTCCTCCCATTTTCTGATGACAAGCTCCTTCAAAGTGTAGGAACGAGTTGCAGATGTACGATGCCCAAAGGTGAACACCGTGAAAGGACTGCTGTAGAAAGAAACAGCTTTTTAGGGCTTTCATACGAGGATTCAGGACAAAAAAATAGGTGTATGAACGCTTCGAGTGTATAGTGCTTCACATAAAAAGGGGTGCGATGTGTCGAAATTCAGTATGGATCGAAATGCTTTTCGTCCTCGCAGCACTCTGCTTTCTGAAGAGGAATGTTTGCGCCGCAGAATGCCTGTGCGGCTCAGGTGGTGAGTCCGTCACTTATTTTGCGCTTCTTACCACGTCTATTGCATGCGATTCACCTCATCTCGGTAATGAAAACAGAAACGCTTTCCAGAAGGCAATGCTCGAGTAGAAACAGACTGCAGATTAGTTATGTGGAGAATAGTGAGCGAATGTGGTGACAACCTCGGCACGCATCTGGTAGGTCGTTTGCATATAAAATGCATGCAAGATGACAGAAGTGAGGCAATGGCGTTGGTGTCGCCAGCAATTCGGGGCAAAAAGAGTCACTTCTCTCCACATTCAAAACGCAATTAATCTCGAACTGCGAAACCAAATCAAATGAGCCCAATTGCATATTAAAGAGCACATTCAAGTCTATCAAAAGTTACATGACAGCCTTCTACACTGACGACATCAGAAGATTTTCCCACGGAAACATGGTTCACGGTACGAGCTCAACGACGTCGTCGAGGTACCATAGACCATTACGACGTCCCTGAAACGCCGGTCAAAAGCGGTCTTGCACAGTCACAGCTAGTGTCTCTGGGAAGCTATTCACCGCTTAACCGATTGAAGAAATTAGGTTGCAGCTTCAGGCCGGAGCGATTACGGTAAGCCCCGTTGAGCTTGACGGCGACGGCAGATGACGTCATATTCTGAAGACCGTGAGGGCATTGAAGTAGGGGCTGCTTCTGCTTATGGGGGGACACCTAAGGAATATTCTGCCGTAAAACATTCATAAGCTGCGGCACTCTGTGCGAATAAAAATTCAATGATGTGCGCCATAGGGAAAGTGATTCTTTTCTTGGCCTCCCTGTATATTGTGGAGATCCCTTCTCTACCCTCCTTCTCTATCCAAACATTATACCTTACGTCAGTTGTTAGTACACAAAAGTGAGGAGAAGAATAATACATTCCATATCCCTCGCCAATCGTTGCATAGGCAACACTAATATTTTCAATTTCAATTTCAACAGGAAGTTTTTTTCCAGTTTTGCGTTGAACGTCTTCAAAAAATTAATTCAGGATATATGGGTTATTCATCGAATCTCTTTAGGGATTTCCAAGTTCTCGTTTAAAGGCATAGTTTTAACAGGTAATGACTGATTCTAGAAATCAAAGGACTTGCTTGCAACGATATAACACCACGACGAGTAATAAAACGGAAAATTCCTTTTCAGGAGCCTGATATAGAGATCGAAAAGGTTGCTCGCCAAGATATCAAAAATGGATTACCGACGAGCGTCTTGCAAAAATACAAAACAGCACGTTTTTACACAACATTTTGGAAGACGAATAATCTTAGAATGGAGGAGAAGGTATACTGGACGATGCACGAGCAGCTCCATCGCCTTGAAACTGCGGTAAGTCAATCACATGATCAATGCAGTTCACTTTGAATTCCATGCACGAGCGGGTTTTTCGCTAATTAACCAGGAACGGATGGTTGGTCGAAGTGGCCATTGTAACGAGACCTACACCGGTGGATGCGTTTTTGGACGCTGATCTCGAATCTGCTTTCCAAATCTGCCAAACGATTTTCCGAATGGAGTTATGAAGGAAAGTAGTGCAGCGGTAGTAGTCCGGGTGCGAGACGTCGTAGGATCGATTCCCTGGCGGGTTCTCTTTTTTGCCTTCGCTGCAAAATGATTGAAAAAGGCTCCCAGCTACCTTACTCGATCAATGCTTGCCTGTAGTTACCCGTGCAAAGACTTTGCGAGGAGTTTCTAATCAGTTTCGGTACTTACTAAAGACTGCACATGGAGCCCACAGAACTCTTGGCAGACGTTTTTGCAGCAAACAAGTGTGATATTCGTGTTGTATACCCCTAGGGACAAGTTTGTAGCCAAATTTGAGATTTCGACCAAATTTCGAAATAAGCTGGTGGGTATCTATCCATTCATCCATCAGCCTATCATCGAAGCCTATATAGCCTTGAGACGATATAAGTTTTTTTGGTTTCTGAAGAGTGTAAAGCAGTGTCTGGTTTTCTGTTCGCATGATTTCAACACCCACATTTTATTATTTTCAAATTTAAAGGGTCGCCGTCGTCCAAAATAGGTCAACCCTGGAACTACCGGCTATGGATATGTAGCATCAATGAGTGACTCGCCCACTTTTTTGAATTAATTCAAAATCTCGAATTTTTCTAGAAATCGGCCCCAGGAGTTATTGGACTACTTGAACACAGATCTCACATTCGTTCACTCAAAAACGGCTGAAGCGCGCGCTCCGTATACTGGCGCGCCTTAACCTTATGTAGTGGCATGCAAGTTAGGAAAATTTCGAAGTTATCGACCTCAAACTCATCCAAAAGCAAGTAGGGCTGACCAATGATGAAGGAATCATGTTTCACTACTGCCAAATAGTCAGTCACAAAAATGCAAAAGGAAAACACGGGCGGATCCGAACCACTGACCCCGAAATCCCAAGCCCACCACCTTAACCACTAGGCCACCAGCACCGATGGCTCACTGCTTCGTTCACAAGCCGCTGCTGCTGAGGCCGATTCCTCACTGTGTTAAACTGTGTGAGGGAACAAAAAACCTCCGTAACTCCGTTCAGCGAATCGTTTGGCAGATTTGGGAAGAAGATTCGAGATCAGCGTCCGAAACCACATACCATGATACTTGTCTCATTTCATATGGCCACTTCGACCCTTCATCCTTCCCCAGTAAGTTTCGCAGCTGGCATGGAACCAAGGTCAGCCGTTTGTTCGACTCAAAGAATTATCAGGTTCGATCTTACTATGCAGCGTTTTCCTTGCACGTTTTAATTCAGCCAATTCTAGTTTTCTTGGCAGAACCATGTGAAATCTACAAAAGCACTTTTTCTACTCTATGATGTATTATTCTTCGTTTCCTTCAATACCATAAATATAGGTAACATGCATAGAAGCTGGAGCATCCAGGAGGCAAAAAACGACGTTTTCTGCGATTGCTGCTATCCTTTGTATTCATAAAGACAAAACCTGCTAAAGCGAAGACCTTCGGTTTTGTAATATTTGTTGGACCCTCCAACCGATATTACACATTTGCCCAGCGTAACATATGGGTGCCTCCAGAGACAAGGCACTTGTGAATACATGATAGATTGGTTGAGTAAATAAGAAAGTGGAAAAGCAACAGCACAGGCAACATTCCAAACGAATGCAAAGGGGATCTCATCAGGCGTGATCGAATACGAAGGTCATCTCATCAAAAAATTAAAGATGCCATTGGGGTCAAAATGAGGAAAAGTTTGCATTTTGGAGTCGTGGGAGTTTATCGTTGTCCTAGTGGTATGCTTTGGATAACTCTCGCGCGGAAGCATTGGCCTTATCATGATCATTCAGTAGAATCCTCCCATTAACTTCCAGACCTATAAAATTTGGCCTTTCCCGGAGCTTAGATCCCAGATATTTGAAGAAACGTTGCTTATCCTTTGCTTCAACTAGTTTCTTTTCCATACTCTTATTGTATTCGCTTCTCAGAAAACTTCTGTAAAAAAGCTGTGAGTTCTGCCCGATCACCGCTTCTTTTGACGTATTGCTAAATACCCTCTTTATGATCCAGCATATTTTGAAGATATGAGAGTAAACTTAGACCTGCTAGGAAAAACGTAGGCCCAGGGGACATACAACTGTATGGCATGTTCTGAGAATAGTCAGAAACATCAAATATTTTTCATCCACGGTAGAAACCGACTCAAAGGAGTCGACCACATAGTAAGGTAAAAAAGTAGTTCGTAAGAAGGGATAATCACATTTGAAGTATAGCCTTTTGAAAACGGGCACGCAAGGCAACTCAACTCCGTTGATGTTAAAAGTATGCCTAAGTGGTCGCTGACGCCAGTTGATGATTAAATAAAACGTTACTTATAAGGTTCAAGTCATTGCAGAAACGCAAATCTAGAATGCTCGAACCTCTAGTGGAATTAATGTACTGCGCGAATTCGTGACAAGCAAAAGTATTAGACAGAGGGTGTGCAATGTCCTTGGAAACATTCCAATCGGCCCGATTGGCCTCCGGGAGTCAAAGTCACCCATGATAACCACAGGAATGCGACTGCAGTTAGGTCGCTAATGGCTTTAGCTAATAGCTCATTGATATAAGAAGAAGTGGAAGGTGGTCTGTAAACTACGACAAGCCTAACACAGAATTCCAGATGCATTAAATCCGCGGCTAAAATTTTATTACCCTTAATTATGGATTCAAACAGTATCGTTGTGAAGTTTAGAGGTTTCCAGCTCTACGACTCCTGTCACAACTTAGTACAGCATAATCATTTATCCAGTTACCTAGCATATATGCCACCGGGGAGCGGTCAACAGAATCGTCCGGAGCGGCGCCATCGCGCGATTACTTGCGCGGCAACGTGGCAGTTTTTCGATGGGCGCGGCAATAATTGACTTGTCGATTGGAGCGATGAATTAGCTGCAGTCCACATTAATCAAGCGGACATCGAAGTCCATTTTGCTTGTTGAGATACCTTTTTCTTCCATACACTGCGTCAGATTCACGAGAAAGCTCAGTTTCAGGACTGATCGAGAGCCTCAGAGAGAAGAGGGCTTCCGAAGTGCGTAAGTAGTTTTCATTCTGTCCCTCTCAGTCAGGCGCAATCCTAGTGGGCTTCCTACAGACAGCCCCCCCCCTTTGCGAAGGCACGTCGCGCCCCATACTGCTGTCACAGCGAAAGAGTTCGAGAAACTTCCTGGAAAAAAGCTTTGTCGATACAAGAAAGAAATTTTCTGGCCTGAATTCTGGCTTTGCTGAGGCTTTTCTATGCTGTAACAACCTCAGCAAGGTCACATTCAGAGATAATCAGAATAAAAGGAAAACTGAAACACAACTATTCATTCCCATTATATATGAGCAAGAAGAGGAACATTCCTTCTAACATTCACACTCGAGTGACGCTCACAGAAACTCGTCCACCGCATCGCAACGTCGTGACTGCGACCGCCAGCTCGGGTCTTCGGACGATTCTGTTGACACGCATCTTATGCCACCATATACTATTTCTTGAACCGAGTCTCAGAAATTAGATAAACATCATACTTGTCACACATCGCCATGTCGAAATAGGTGCAGTCTCTTTGGGAAGGATCTGAGCTGAGAAATAGAGTAGAAAATCTAGATACTTAAATATGAGGAAGATATATGCGATCCAGAGAGAGAATACCGAGGCGAAGAGTCTAGTTTTCCTGAGTGGCGAACGCTATCGTTGTCATAAAATAATTTTCGACGGACGCCACATTGTTTGAGTTCAGGTACACCTGCTATAACTCTAGACATATGTCGCTCAGATTCTTGACATTCGATAATATCAGACCGTATAGTATTGACAGGTTGATCTGTAGTACAGTAGGCTCGGCACTACTCAGCGGTACATCAGGAGCTAGACCAAGTTTTTGGCGCAAGTTGAGATTCTCTTGTCGCAACTGATATCGCTCAAGTTTGTTCACACAATGAGGGACCAGCGAAGAGGCGTTGATTTCTCACATGGCATCGTCAAGTCCAGTAGGTTGAGGCGGCGAGGATATGGGAGAAGATGACGAGCATGCCCTCTTTGTGCCTTAAAAATACCTCGAAGGGGTCTCCTCATTGCCAAAAAAATAAAAGAAAGCTCGTCAAAACACCTGTTGAGACGACCCAGTTGTACAGTATTGATCACGGGCCGTGGTGATCTGCGCGTGGTGGAAAATCAATCCAATAATAGCACCGTTTCGAGCCAAGAGCGGAATCCCAGTGCACTTCAGAATAGAGCAGCAAGGTAGAATAGTGTAAGCCAACTACTCCAGTAGACAAGGTATGGTAGAAAAAGGCCTCCCGAATAGAAACAGTCGTGGAACGTTAAAGACCGACGTTGCGAGAGCGCCTCAACAACCGACTGCTCACAGGCGAGCGATGAGTGGAAATCTTGAAGAAGCTACGACCATTTAACGAGAGAAGTCAAATTTCACCAAAATTTCAATTTCTTTTTGACCGAAAACCGAATTCAAACAAAGAAATGCTCCATTTTCCGCCCTTGATAAATCAGCACCCTCACCGTCTGCCATTCAAAACCACTGTTGATATTACCAGAAATCATTTTGTATTGTTTATTTCATTCACATTTATTTCATTTTCGCGTATTTTGTAGATTTCGTTCCCTCATCCAATTGATCTTCTTAGTATATGGTATTCTGAAGAAAGTGTGTCACGACTCTCATAGGAGGGCGGGGGGGGGGGACGCGAAAATTTTTTGAAAACTAAAAACTGCGGAAAATTTGTGAAGCATTTACACTGTCTTTACTTGGGTCCTCTAAACTCCTTCTTTCTGGTGAATAGGTGAATATACCTTGATCATGGCTAAATCCTGTTTCACTGACTCTGTTCAGATAAGGACATGGAATGTAACAAGGGGCGGTTTGGATGCTACTGCGATTACGGAACCGGACACAA